TTTTTAATTTTTAATGTAGATTATCTAGATTATTAACTAATATAAATTCCAGAAGATGGTATTTAAAAATTGCTGTTCTCTGCATTTGTAATAAACTTATTAACAAATACAAATTACAGAAGATGGTAAGCTGGGTGGCAGCCCTCACCCGGACCAGAACGGGCTGGGCGGGGCCCCGGGGGATGGGCCAGGGGGCCACATGACCCCCAATGGAGCCTCGTCCCCCTCACGCCTCTCTGCCTTCCTGAGCTCGGCCCAGCGCCAGACCAGGGATGACCAGCCCGATAAGAACGGGTGAGTTACATGATAACAATGGGTGAGTTGACCAGCCTGATAACAACGGGTGAGTTGATGACCAGCCCGATAACAACGGGTGAATTGATGACCAGCCGGATAACAACGAGTGAGTTGATGACCAGCCTGATAACAATGGGTGAGTTGATGACCAGCCCGATAACAATGGGTGAGTTGATGACCAGCCCGATAACAATGGGTGAGTTGATGACCAGCCCGATAACAACGGGTGAGTTGATGACCAGCCCGATAACAATGGGTGAGTTACGTGATAACAACAGGTGAGTTGATGACCAGCCCGATAACAATGGGTGAGTTACGTGATAACAATGGGTGAGTTGATGACCAGCCCGATTGCCATGACTTGCTCTGCACGTGTCTGGGTCCAAGTTCTGGGCCATGGCTTGCTCTGCACGTGTCTGGGTCCAAGTTCTGGGCCATGACGCTGACTAAATTTGAATTACGACCTCTAAATTAACGTCTAAGATTTGCTCACTAAGATTAGATTTTAATGAGATTAGTGTTTTAATTACTTGACAGCTTTTAAGGACTTCGAATTAGAGAACATTCATTGCCATGTTCTAGTGCTCGTGCCGTGCAAAGCTTCCAATTTGAACCTTAAATCAAATGTCCAAATAATCACTCTATTGACTTGTATTTATATTAACGAGAGCAATAATGAAGCAATATTTATAACAGTAACCTGAGAACATACGTAGAATATAATGGACTTGTCTTTCAGACACGCATTTGTCTCCTAATAATCAATACGATCGTTTTTTTATAGGAGTGTTTGTCGGGAAAATTTTTTCTTGTGTGTCCAAGTTTTAGATTTAAAAATCTTGATCTCAAGTCGCAAATATAGGAGAAACAACCCTCGTCCCAAATGACGTCCGCAGCTAAGGTGGCTGTGTGGTGTGCCTTATACACTTTATTTAATCTATCGTCCCGTGTTGTGCTGGCAAAATGGTTGTGAAAACCGCTGGGCCCATACTTTCAAAAAAAAAAAAAATGTTGAGAGATCGTAAGTTTGGAAAAATGATTGTGAATTGTGAGTGCATGCTTGCTTAACCCTCTACCGCCGTATGTCACTCTTCTGGGCCTATACTTGCAAAAAAAGTTAAGAGGTCGTAAGTTCATCAGCCAATCATTGACGGTCTTTCAAGCCAAATCCACCAATCATAGACAAGAAAATAGAGCGTAAGTACTTACGTTAACTTAGCGAGTTTTTAAATTATGACACCAGGAACATAACTTTAAACTTAAATTATACGTAAACTATTGAGTGTAGCAACCTGAGGACGTTAGTACGCAACAGAGAACATTTTAAAGTAACTTTCAACTTGAATTATACGTAAACTATTGAGTGTAGCAACCTGAGGACGTTAGTACGCAACAGAGAACATTTTAAAGTTATCGTACGTGGCGGCAACCATCAGTGCAAGTCATTTTGCGCTCACTAGAACGTATCCTTTTTAGGAGGTAGGCGCGTGACAATATTGCTCCGGTTACTCGTGTCAGGTGGTAGAGGGTTAAACTCGTTCATCCAACTCTGATGTACGAATAAGAGAACATTGCCCTCTGCAGCCATACTTTCAAAACTCGCTAAGTGAACGTAAGTACTTACGCTCTATTTTCTTCTTGTCTATGATTGGTGGATTTTGCTTGAAAGGCCGTCAATGATTGGCTGATGAACTTACGATCTCTTAACTTTTTTTGAAAGTATAGTGAACGTAAGTACTTACGCTCTATTTTCTTGTCTATGATTGGTGGATTTTGCTTGAAAGGCCGTCAATGATTGGCTGATGAACTTACGATCTCTTAACTTTTTTTGAAAGTATAAGCCAGGCTGATGTCTCGATAACGTGTGGCAAATGTCTAGTGTTTTTTTGCACTTTGCTAAGATTTATGTTCGTTTTTAAAGTTGAAATGTGAACAAAATATGAAACGTTGCCAGTTTTAGTGCCTGTAGTCACCGCACTACCTCCTTTGATCTCATGAAAACCAAAATATTTCGTTTCTTATCTTTGCTGTAGCGTACATGATGTATGTGGTGACGTGCATAATGTATGTGGTGACGTACATGATGTATGTGGTGACGTGCATGATGTATGTGGTGACGTACATGATGTATGTGGTGACGTACATGATGTATGTGGTGACGTACTTCGGTCTTCTCAATTGTATTGTACTTCGGTCTTCTCAAAGGTATTTTTACTTCGGTCTTCTCAATTGTATTGTATATCAGTCTTCTCACGTGTATTGTACTTCGGTCTTTTCTATTGTATTGTACTTCGGTCTTCTCAATTGTATTTTTACTTCGGTCTTGTCAATTGTATATTGGACCTTGGCCTTGTCAATTCTATAGTAATTCGGTCTTGTCAATTGTATTGAAGTTCGGTCTTGTCGGTCGCGTTGTAGTTCAATTGTATGGAACAACATTTTTTCCAGGAATCGCACACTATATCTGAGGAAACAGTTCCCGCCGCCTTCTTAAATAATTAAGACGTTTCAGTGGCACTTGAATAGATGCTGCGAGAAATTCTTCCCTAATTATTGGTAGCTTTGCATAGGCCTGGGCCTATACTTTCTAAAAAAGTTAAGAGATCGTAAGTTCATCAGCCAATCATTGACGGCCTTTCAAGCCAAATCCACCAATCATAGACAAGAAAATAGAGCGTAAGTACTTACGTTCACTTAGAGAGTTTTGAAAGTATGGCCCCTGGAGTCGTTTGTTTATTGATTTTATTAAATCTTATGTTCATTCTGTTTATTGATGAAATAAAAGAGCATAATAAATATTTATCCACGAACGGGTATCTAAAAGGAATTATCACTGGAGAAATTCATCGCAAAAAAACACTGCCGAATGTTGTCTCCGACTTATTTGGCTCAGTATTCATATTCATGATTTAATTCGCAATAGTAATGATGTTCACAACGCTTTGAAATGATTCACAAATTTTATTACCCAAGACTCTTCGCTGTTCGACGCTTCTGTGCCGTATAATCAATAAACTTGTTAGCATATTGCCTCATTGAATTCTCGGTGTTTCCATCTTACTACTGCGATCAAACAGGTATATTAAACAAGTTTCCATTTGCATTTATTGATCTGGGCCTATACTTTCAAAAAAGTTAAGAGATCGTAAGTTCATCAGCCAATCATTGACGGCCTTTCAAGCAAAATCCACCAATCATAGACAAGAAAATAGAGCGTAAGTACTTACGTTCACTTAATCATAGACAAGAAAATAGAGCGTAAGTACTTACGTTCACTTAGCGAGTTTTGAAAGTATGGCCCCTGCCATCTAAACCTACAGTCAGTACCGTGCACTTCAAGTTACGGGGTATCCCTTTTACTGTGTTTATTTAGCTCCAACGTTTCTTCATTAGGGATAGCCTCACTCATTATTAAATATTTATTATTATTTCATTATTAACTATACCGCACTCATTATTTCATTGTCGATATTTTGGTGTCTCAAAGTGAACAACGGTGTGAGGTGAGTGTTCTCTATATTTTGTATGTATTTTAGTTCATCGAGAAGTATTATCTTCAATTGTGTGAATATAGATTAGATTTGTAGGGGCTTTAGAGCTTTTATAAGATGTAAGACAGATGTAAGTCACAGTCACAAAATTTCTTAATTGTATTATGCAATTGTAATTGTAATACAATTATTACAATTAAAAAACGATTACAATAATATTATATAATTATACCTTAACTTCTGACCTTATCACTGTTCTACCAGATGCTTTTTTAAATACATTCTTACAAGCCGATCAATCGGTTACCTGGTTATTTTTACTTGCCACAATCTTGATTACTTTATTATTGTGAATTAGTGTTATAAATTGGATTTTACTATTACTAACTGGCATGACATAACTAACACATACGTACTAACATACACTAACGCATGTCTGTATGTGTATTAACATGTACACATACACCAACACATGACATACATTAACACATGTCTGTCATAACTAACATGACATACTAACTGTCATGTTTGACATGGGTATGAGTAACATACTCATACATGAGTATGACATGAGCTTGGATGCTCGTAGACTGTGCCCCGATGTTGTTACAATTAAGTTTGAAGCTTTAGTAACTAATCATGCAATTAATCTAATTAACTAATCTCCCTTGCACCGCCACCTCCGGCACACCATCACCTAAACGCTTCACACTCACACTTATCCCACTTCTGTCTCTTCTATTATTACATTTGATTTCGTCCCTTGTCCGTATTCTTGGGTTTCTTTGTCATTTCTCTTCATTTGACTATTTAATCGTTATATCTGTGGAGTCTCCACTTGGTCCTGGTTTTCCATCAATGTTCGTTGCGTTACTTGCACTTCTGCATGTCTTGAGGTACTTTTTGTGGTTTATTTTGGTTTTTCATTAAATGAACTTATCGAATTGCAATTGAAAACTTTTTGGGCCAATCCCATTTGTTCTCTTGTTTTTTTCTTTTTTTTTTAATATATGAACCGCCTTCATTTACAAGCCATATTACTGACTCGCTTGCTCTACCCGAACCCATATTTCTTCTTATTGTAAAAATTTTTGGAAATGCACCCGGCAAATTTTGAAACACGTACGATTTGATTTGGATTTTCTGGACAATTTATTTTTTGTTTCTGCACGCGTTTCTTGACAAAAGCAATTAATTTGTTGCCAAGCTCAGAACCAAACCAATTGCTGTTAGTGCATCATGTAGATCTCCTAGCATACACTCTGACCCCGACATAAAACTCGTATACGACGGAGGCCGATCTGCCGTACGACCCTCGCCTGGTCGGAAAATGTCGAAATCTTCGGCTGGCCCTGCTGAGGGTGTCGTATCCTTCGTGATAACCGACGGCAGCCCTCTGCCGGGACCGAGCTCTGCTGAACTCAGTCGTGGCAGGATATCTGGTCGTAGGGGCAGACCTAGGAAACAAGCTCGTCCTAAGCACCAGTTGCACCCTCATACCACCATTGGGTATGTTGTCTCATCCATGTACATGTACACCTCTGCGCCATTACAACTTCTCTTTTATGCCATGCATGCTTCTGGCTTCTTTTTGTCTTCCGACATACTAGTGTGTCGTGCGAGACTCGGCAAATGTATTACAACAGTAAATGTATACCAACAATGAATGTATTCCAACGTGTAATGTATACCAACAGAAGATATATACATCAATGGTCGCAAGACATTCTTTGCGCGGTGCGTGGCCTTTATTGAGGTGCTAACAGGTCCTCTGACATTCATCTTGTATGCCTAATCGTCATGGCAATATTGCGCTCCAGATTCCGCAGGAGTTGCGGTACAAAACCCACAGGATGACTTCAGTTGTGACATTGACAGAAGACAGCTATTAATTTAACTTCAAGTTTACTGGATAGTCATGTCTGTAATGATTTCTTCAGGTTCTCCTGTTCTCCTAAACGCACCGTTCTGTTTCATCTCTCATCTTCTACTTCAAATGGATAGTTGTGGTTGTTCTTTTTGCGCTTAGTGTGCAACAATCGGAATTTCAACAACAAAGAGCCTTTCCGCTAATATTCTTGCTATGTCTTCGTGTTTCTTTTTTATGTTTGATTTGTCTCTGTAAGGCTGTGAACTCGGGCCAGCGTTGGACGGTATACGCGCTGTTTGAGTCTAATAAGTGGTTTGATCTCAACTTGCTCGTTTAGCTCGTTCATTTGGTTTGTTCTCTACTCAATGTTACTCAAGTTTCAGTTTTGTTCATATCTTAGCTTAATATATCCACTCTCTGACGTGATTCTCAGCGAAGGTTTTGCTCTCTTACGTCGCGGTTTTGACATGGCGTTGCCACATCTAAAACTTGCAGTTAACTTATTGTAAGTTCATTATGTAGTGATCCTGGAGTGGTTTTATTACCAAATTACTCATACCAGCTATATTTATTCTTAGTGATTTAAGTATATTTTTTTGACAGCTACTCATACCAGCTATATTTATTTAGGATGATCGGAGCCCGCCTTTTTAACAGCTTATGAGCTAAGTTAATTTTTGAACTCTTTCTGTTGAGTGGTACAACTGAGCCCTCAAAACTTTTACAAATTTATTTAAGGTCATTGCTCTGAAATTTATGTGCAATTCCTCATATAGGGCTGACTTTTTTCGATTGAGAGCCACTTTATTTGGAGAAGTTTTCCTGGCATTGTAGTACTAATTGTAGTTGCGAGTTTAGCTTAGTCTTCTATAAAATCTCGCTTTAGATTAATACTTGCATTCTTTTTTAGGTAACACCCACGTATGTTTGTTCGACTTTTCGCTGCTTCTGTCGCAGATAAATTTTAAATATTTTAGTTAGTCCGTCAATTTGCACTTGAGGATTTGATACGTACGTGCTTCATCCCTAACGTATCATACCTACTAGGAGTGCGCAGAGTTTTTGGTAGCATTGCTGGTAATATCGGCCTGATCCATAGTTCCCCATCAGGGGGGACTTCTGACGTGTGTCTGTGCGCGCCAGAAGTCCTATGGGATTTCGCGTTCCTAGGGGGGATTGTTCCTGAGCGCCCCATCGCTGAGCTCGCGGTGTCTGACTGCAGATCTCAGTTGTGGGGTTAAGTTATTATGTAGGCAGGATACCTTAAATTAAGTTATTATGTAGGTAGGATTCCTTACATTTCCCTTCTCTGTCTCTCTCGTGCGGGCGGCCGACGTCCCGTTTGCTTTTCACCTGTCCCTCCTTGTCACTTCGTCTCTTTGAGATGCTAACGCTGCTTCTTTCGAGCCAGCTTCAGCGGGCTGGACAACTGAGACCTTCCGCCCCTTGTGGGTGATGAATAATTGAGACCTTCCACCTCTACGGTGATGTTCATCTTGAATTTCGGTGCGAGATAGCTAAATAGCTGAAGCGCTAGTAAACATTTGGCCACTAAACTAACTAACTAACTAACTGATCCATAGTTCCTGATTTGGCTTCTAAAAGTCGAAAATTTCAATTATTGAGCGCCATCCATGGTCTAGTTTTTATAACAATACAATTTTGCCCAGGAATTTCTTCGTCATTAATCCTTCAACAAGCTAGTGATATTAATCATCCTGTTTTAATTTATATCAGACTTTAAATTTCTTTTATACAGACTTTACATTTTTTATATCAGACATTGTACGTAATAATTTCGTACAATGTTTCTCGTTGAATTTGCGCTCACTGAGTAAAAGCATTGAATTCATTTAGACGCAAGATCAATTACTTCTTTCGTGAAATATTTCGTAGCTAAACTAAAGGAAACCATGATGAGCGTGAAATCTGCCTTTACCCTCCCCCTGCTACAAGTTATCACAGTGCTGGTACAAATACCACCTATCGATCTCAGTCTCTTGTTCGCTCTTGAAACATAACTTGCAATGATCATAAGTGACTAGGCATTCGCTCTTGAAATGATCATAAGTAACTAGGCATTCGCTCTTGAAATGATCATAGGTAACTAGGGATTCGCTCTTGAAATGAACATTAAAAATGGCAGGCATGCTCTTAAAATCATTTCTAATAGCGTGGTCATTTTTTAATACCTACCCAATTCTTAACTAGTGCGCACTAAAACTTGGAATGTCTCGTTCTACAAAAAAAAAGTTACTAAAATGAATTTGTACGCTTATTCGATAGCTTGGTTTCATTACTTAGTTTGTATCATTCGGGGTGGATGCTCAATTGCCGATGAGTAATTTATTTAATTTCCATGTTTACTCGCAAAAGTTCTGCAGAAACCCGTCCAAATTGGGCATTAGTTTGGTGGAAGTTCATCTTGAGTTTATATCTTCGTAACGTGACAAATATCACGCGTTGCTTAGTGTGGTAATCTCACTTGTATTAATTATAAACAAAAAATTCATTCCGAATAGTTTTATTTGTAAAAGCTGTAGTTGTGTTTTCCCCTCGAAAGTTGTATGTCTGACTGATCCCTTTATGCCCCCTCAGCGTAATAAAGAGAAGTGAACCTCACGACTCGAGTCTCTCGAGCTTCTCATCACGCGTTGCTTAATGTGGTATTCTCACTTGTATTGATCATAAAAAATCTTAATTTCGAATAGTTTTATACGCAAAAGCCTTAATTTTGTGTTCCTTTCGATAGTTGTATGTCTGACTGATCCATCTATGCCCCGCAGCGTTATAAATTCTATATGTAAAAGCCGTAATTTCGTTTTTTCCTCGATAGTTGTATGCCTAACTGATCCCTTTATGCCCCCTCAGCGTAATAAAGAGAAGCGAGCCTCACGACTCGAGTCTCTCGAGCTTCTCCGTGACCTCCTCTATCCCAACGGGCCGAGCTTCCCCTTCACCGCCTCCTGCTGCGCCTTTAACTAGGGACGACCAACCAGGGTCTCCGGAGCTCGCCAAGATCTCCGCCCTCATCACACGTCCTCCAAAGCTCCACGGCGGCTCCTCTTCCAAAGATAAAGGCAGGAACTCTGCCCATAGGGAGAGCCCGCCTTTGGTCCATAAGGAGACCAAGCCGAGCAAAGACCGAGCGACCCCTCCACCAGATGCCGGTCTCAGGGTGGTGCCTCCGCTCAAGATTAAGAGTGCTGTGGTTGATGACAAAGTGGCAGGTGGGTTGTGTTCTGGTGGCAGGTGGGTTGTGTTCTGGTGGCAGGTGGGTTGTGTTCTGGTGGCAGGTGGGTTGTGTTCTGGTGGCAGGTGGGTTGTGTTCTGGTGGCAGGTGGGTTGTGTTCTGGTGGCAGGTGGGTTGTGCCCTGGTGGCAGGTGGGTTGTGCCCTAGAGATCCCCCATAAAAATAAAATAATTGTAAAATAAGCCCATATCCTGTGTTTTTTTTACAATTTTAACCCGCCCGACAAATGTAGAGCCAATACAGCAGATTTAAATGAATTTTATGCATAACGTTGATAGGTATTTTTGGATGATGTCATTATTTTTGTTTTCTTCTTCAGAAACTCGTCCCTTTTGTCGAAATAATGCCAGATTATAAATAAGGATTTATAAGCATTTATTCCTCCATGTTTCATCTATTGCTTGTTATATTGATATTTATATATTGATATTTATCAATAATGATACATATTTATTGATATTTATTGACATTTTATATTGACATTTCCCAGCCGCGACGAAAAAGCCTGCAAGTGTCCCGTCACCATCCCCCCGCGGGGTCAGCAGCAGCAAGTCATCATCAGGCCTCATCACCACCACCATCACCAAGTCATCATCAGGCCTCATCACCACCACCATCGCCAGTGTGCCCGTCTTGCCCGCAGCGCCCCCGCCCCTACCGGAGCCCTTAGCGGCGCCCGTCGTGGCCGATGCTATATCGTCCTTAGGGCATTTTGTGGTAGGTTATTTTGTGGTAGGTAGGTTATTTTGTTGTAGGTTATTTAGTGTAGGTAGGTTATTTAGTGTAGGTATGTTATTTTGTGGTAGGTTATTTTGTGGTAGGTTATTTAGTGTAGGTAGGTTATTTTGTGGTAGGTTATTTAGTGTAGGTAGGTTATTTTGTGGTAGGTTATTTAGTGTAGGTAGGTCATTTTGTGGTAGGTTATTTAGTGTAGGTTATTTAGTGTAGGTAGGTTATATTGTGGTAGGTTATGTAGTGTAGGTAGGTTATATTGTGGTAGGTTATTTAGTGTAGGTAGGTAGGTTATTTTGTGTAGGTAGGTTATTTAGGGTAGGTATGTTATTTAGTGGTAGGTTATTTAGTGTAGGTAGGTTATTTTGTGGCAGGTTATTACATGCATTAGTGAAGTGACTAGTAGTTATGCACCAGCTATTCACAGCTAACTATATTATTGATCTGCTGAGTATAATCACTCATTCTTCTATCTGTATACCACCTTTTTTTTCAATCAAAATTATTTTCTTCTTCGATGTTTTACATTGTTGTCCTATTGACAAACTTGATAATTGACACGATAATAGATATTTAATAGACGTTTAATATGATTATTATGATAGACGTAACTGTATGATCTGTCTGTCCCCAGGACGACCAGGGCAACGAGGTCTGGATCTGTCCGACGTGCGGCAAGCAGGACGATGGATCGCCGATGATCGGCTGCGATACCTGCGATGATTGGTATCATTGGTGAGTATCGCAGAGAAGAAGTGGGTCTCAGTGGTAAATATTGCACTCCAGTCGCAGGTCTCAGTGGTAAATATCGCACTGCAGTCGCGGGTATCATTAACGAGTATCTCAATGCAGTCGCTGACATCATTGATGTTCTGTGCTGCTTAGTAATAAGTTTGCTATAATTTGGCTAGCTTATCTTTATTTGAACTAACGTTGCCCTTGTATAATAAGCTGATGCTTGGTGCTTGGACCGCAGAGTGTGTGATTAGAATGACGGTTCGTTAATTTTTCTACTTTTCTTTTAGTCTTGATGTAGTGATAGCAACCGAAGCCATGCTTATCGATATAGGAGGTTGCGACGATAAGTATTCATATTTATTTCGATACAGCCGGGTATTTCGACACCTATTTTAATCTCATCAGTCGCATGAATGAACTTTTCCTTCGATAGAGTTTGTATGTACGCTATTTACTGTCAGGTTGGTATTTTCTGTACATTGTCCGAGTGGTCAATAGGTCGCGATGGAAGGTTCCCTATACTGGCAGCTACGACTTGACAAGGAGAAAGACACACACATTTATCTCCGACCTCATATACTAAAAAACAAATACCCTACGCCTAGTTACAGAGCCAGGAATGATGACAATAACGAGAGCACGGGCTTACTTGCAGAAGAAAAATCTTATCCTACACGGATCTGGGCCGGAGACAACAGAGTTAGACAACTACTACGGGCTCCGAATAACTAATTGAGACTAATTCAGCGAGGCTAAATTAAAGTGGCTACAATGCACGCTAATAATTTAATCTACACACCGGGCTTGTTTGAGACGATCTAGTCCAAGGCGAAGCTGCGTGGTCTGGCTGTTGTCGTGGGTTGCAGTTACGTTCCCGGAGTCGGGGATGCTCCGTGAAGCCTCCTTCGCGATCGTGACTTCGGCAGTCGTCGAAAACACGAGGATGAAATCAGTTGCCCGGTGTAGGACTAGGACATGAGTATCCTCACGGTCGGGTAGTTCTTCGATCAGGTTCTCTGTAGTTCTTCGATATCGGCTTCAGATAATTAGCTTCGCAGCAGTCTGTCGTGGCCCCTGTGCTCGGTGGTGTCGAATCCGTCGTTCAGTTTTCCTCTCGCGGCAGTACGAACGTGAAACAGTGGCAATTCGTCGTGGTGAATCCTATACAAGGCTCACGGTGTTCGTCTCGGTTTTCACAGTTATCTCCTTCGTCGGTTACTTGCAACACTTTTCATCTCACTCTCGCGAAAGTCTTTCCACAATTACGTCGGCTAAGTCAGAGAAAACACCTGCACCGTCCACGACCTTCAGTCTTGGTCGCGCTACAACGACATGCGGAATACAAGGGCCTCCGCGCTCAACTGACTCCACATCCGCCGCGCTCGCCTTATATAGCCCCGATTACGCGTAGACCCGCACTCGGTTGGCGTCGCTTGAATTTTCGTGACGACATGTGTTTTTCCCATAAGTCCTAGTTTCCTATTCTTGCTTATAATTTATTCCTATTCCTAATCATTGTTTATAATTTATTCCTATTCCTAATCATGTGCGTGGGCATCCAGGTACCGCCCAACTCGATGCTGGATGTTTGATGTTTGATGCTTGGTCCGCAGGGTGTGCGTGGGCATCCAGGTGCCCCCCAACGAGGCGGAGAACTGGTACTGCCCGCGGTGTCTGGCGCAACACAAGCAGCGCAACCTGCCGGGCAACCCGCGGCGCGAGAAGAAGAAACATCATCACGGCAGGAGGAAGTGATGCACCACCACCACGGCAGGAGGAAGTGATGCGAGTGATGCACCACCACGGCAGGAGGAAGGGATGCAAGTGATGCACCACCACGGCAGGAGGAAGTGATGCAAGTGATGCACCACCACGGCAGGAGGAAGTGATGCAAGTGATGCACCACCACGGCAGGAGGAAGGGATGCACCACCACGGCAGGAGGAAGTGATGCAAGTGATGCTCCATTGTTGGGGCTCTCTGAACACAATAAAATAATATATAATAACTTCGGCACATTAACACTTCAAGACTTCATCTTGGATGCATGGCTTTCGAGACTAACTCTTGACTCTGAGATTTGAGGCTTTCCTACAAAAGAAACAAATAAAACAGATAAATAATAGTTACCTAAACATTAAAGTATTCATATATATATATAACCTAAGTATTTACACAATTTGTTCACATCAATCTATTCACATATATATTTACATATCCACATCCTAACGCAGCACATACCTCCGCTCCGGCTTTCCATGACAGAATAATCTTATCACCTTCTCCTTCCGCACTTATAGCCTTCCGTAAACTCTAAACTAAAATGACAAATTCAAAATAATAAACCATTTTGGAACAAAAATTATCGCCTCGCATAACATTAAAATACCCAACTATTTCTATCCTTTACACCACCACCACCACTACGGCAGGAGGAAGTGATGCAAGTGATGCACCACCACGGCAGTAACACGCATAGCCTGCACTCCTACTGCACCAAAACTGACAATTGCCGTTAGTACGCATAACAATAGTTGATATGCAAGGAAATTACAAGGGATCTTTCTGCAGTAGATAATTCCAAGGAATTGTCTACTGTAGATAAATAAATAATATAAATAAATAAATAATAAATAAGTGTGCAGTAGATAATTAGAGGAAATTCACGGCAATACTGTCACTCATTCAGCACTCAGGGTCATTCACAGCTTGATGTTCATGTCATACGATGAGTGTGCATTAGGAATTAATGTTGTGCTTGTGCTTTAGAGTTTTGTACCTACATGAACCTATAATTTGACATGATTTGTGTGAACTATGATACTAGGAATCGCATAGATTTGCAGGTTTGTGACCGTAAATTATCTATATGTTGATTAGAACCATTACATACAACTGTACATAAACTGTTTACATAAATCAACTTGTACAGCATTTATTATTTGGTTGTGTACGATTCTGTTGATTATTCAGAGAGGATTATTGTTGCCTTGTTGTGTAGATTGTGTCTTGTATATACGGTATATATGGTGCACGTGTTAACATACTTTAAGTTTACTGTGTTCATCAACTGCGCTATCATTTATCGTCTGGCTTAGCGTATTACATTTACGGCTCGCGGTGTTCAATGAACCACTTGTTCTTTGTACGGACGCTTTTGGCCGTACTTCTCCACGTAATAAAGTTATTTTTCGACGGGTATAACTTATTCAAGTTGCTAAAGTGTTATTGTGCCCGTACATAACACGTAATAAAGTTATTTTTCGAGGGGTATAACTTGTTCAATTTGCTAAAGTGTTATTGTGCCCGTACATAACACGTAATAAAGTTATTTTTTGAGGGGTATAACTTGTTCAATTTGCTTTAGTGTTATTGTGCCCGTACATAACACGCAATAAAGTTATTTTTCGACGTGTATAACTTATTCAAGTTGCGAAAGTGTTATTGTGCTGCAACAGATGGATGATGACATTCACTCCAGCAGCCTTCACCATCCCCCTAGATCTGGAGGCTGAAACCTGTAAAAACAAACTAGAATTTGTATGGTTGTTTAATGGTTACATTATTTCCATTCACTTTGTGCCTTTGTTATTCATTTCATAAGCATTTGTTATATATTAAATCGGAAACATTGCACAGCAGTTGCCTTGCGAAATTCAACACAGTATTGTGGGCTCCTCTAGCACCGTAATTTCAATCATTGCATTGCTAATTTTTAACTTATTTGCTGTTATTCACTAATGTCAGCAAACATTCTTCGTTAATGTATTTACATTTTTTCTTCAATATTTCCTGATCTGTCATTGCTACTTTATTAATTGTGACAGTTACACTCAGCTTCTGGTATCCTACCTCATATCTCGTCAGCTAAACGAGCACTGATAGTTAAACTGTTAGCTACGCGTTATAGGTGATTAGAATTGTCGTTGTCACTTGTCAGTAGGATTAATAATGCTGGGAAATACATTATCTACCTTTAGCTAAAAGATGGATCTTAAATTTTTCTTCTACTTTTTATCCTTTATTCCACCTTTAAAAATTTCTCTTGCCAGGGTAGCTGGCGAAGAATTTTTATTGATATTTGTTTGGTTATTCTCTTCTGCAGCGCCGTTGTTTTGCGAACCGCAATAATCTTGTTGATTGTTGTTCATGTTGAGCGTTACTCGATCTATTGTGTTATATTGTTGAATGGTGTAAATACATGTGAATAAAATCATACACTCGATCCAATTACCGTATTCATTTTCCTGTACACTTCTCTAATAACTATAATTTTATGATTAATTTTTTATCAAACCTTTGCGTTTCTCTCGTTACCTGACGTTTATTTAACGTAAATACTATAGGAAATGGAAATTACGACGTTTTGTTAACCAATTCCATCAACAGCCCACTACGTCGCTGCAAAGAAATAATTTCATTATCTGCCCGTTCACTAAAAATATCGTGTTAGTATTTCCGACGTCACAACGTTACCACCGTCAACGTCACAAAACAATGCACGTTGTCAGCAACTCTCCTACCTGGAGGCGAAGGCTTGAGAAAACATCTGACAACAATGCTTGTTTCTGCGCCTTCAGTTGCGATTCGTACAATATTTTTCATTGCAAGCTACAAGCGAGATTCACAGATTCTCCTCGGTTCTTCGCCTTTAGGGGCTTCATGAACTACTGCATTTTAGACCATATTTGAGTCTTTTTTTCGTTTTTTGTCACCTTTTTTGAACAATGGTGTTACTTGAGCTTCTTCCCATTCGGTCGGCAAAGTTCCTTTGCTCAAGTTTTTTAAAGAATACTGTCAATGGGTCGGCCAGGACGGTAGCTTAATTCTTTAAGCAATCTGGGATGGATGCCGTCTGGACCACATGACTTGATGGGATTTAGAGCGACCAGGTGCTTGAGAACCTCTTATTTCAAAACCTGTCAACTTCGAATCGACTGGGTACTCCTCAATATCTGGAATACTGTTCAAGTCCTCACCTTTGAACACGCTGCTAAAGAACTCATTTGACGCGTGTCTGAGCTCGTCAGAAGTCCTATGTGATTTTGCGTTCCTATTGCTAATGACATTTACTGCTATAGCCATGATAACATGTTCCTGAGCACCCCACCGCTGAGCTCGCAGTGTCTGACTGCAGATCTTATATGGGGTTAAGTTATTATGTAGGTAGGATTCCTTACATTTCCCTTCTCTGTCTCTCTCGTGCGGGAGGCCGACGTCCCGTGTAAGCGACCTCTTGTTCGAGTGTCTTCGTTTCTGTTGCTTTTCACCTGTCCCTCCTTGTCACTTCGTCTCTTTGAGATGCTAACGCTGCTTCCTTCAAGCCAGCTTCAGCGGGCTGGACAATTGAGACCTTCCGCCCCTTGTGGGTGATGAATAATTTGAGATATTGAATAATTTTCTTCCGCCTTGCTGGCGATGTTACATTTTGACCTCCGGTGCAAAATAGCTTGATAGCTGAAGCGCTAGCAAACCATTCTACAACTTCTACTACTACTTCTACTACCAAAGAACTCATTAAGAACGTTAGCCTTGCCCTCATCAGAGGATATCTTTCGTTGGTCTACTATTACATCAGAAATACCGTCCTTAGTCTTACCCCTCGCACTAGCCTAAAAAAAGGATTCCGGGTTCTATTTTGCATTTTGTGCAATATTTTTTTCAAAGTTTTTTACTGCGGTGCGAATACTTTTTTTAGCTTGATTTCGAGCTCTTGCATACAGGTCTCGCATTCGGGATGCGATTCCGCCTTGCTTTTAGGCGGAATTTGTTCTATCGAAAAGCTGCTAAAATAATTGATCTAAAAACGCTAAATTAGATTTTCATGCTATGCTACCAGAATATTTTTGCTATGATTTGTATCCGAATTAGTCGTGGAAAAAATGCGCTTGAATCAAAGCTTGAATTAGAGCGCTGAAAATATCGAGTTGGTTTGATATACATAACCTGTACGTAGCGCTTCTTCTAAGAATGATTCTTTGCTGGGAGTCTTGTTTCAGAGTCTTAAGAGGCTTTAATGCTTCCTAAAATATTTTTCGCACAATAATCCATGTTTTAAGATTCATAATTGAAGTAATATGGTATATTCTATTGATTCCATCAGTCCTCTAATGTATTAGATTTCAGGTGTCCTATTTTACATTGCAGGATTATTACGTCATTCAACAACCAACTTTTTTCTTGACTTGTGGAAACGCTTGAAAGCAGAAGAATTTATATAAAATTTAGAACTGATTACAGCTGATGCCACCGTACCAACATGTTCCAATATCGTAATAAATATTTTCCCATATTGAATACGTGTGAATTCTCCTGAGTTACGCCTGAAGAAGCTGTTAGTCATCAGCATTCTCAGGCTGGTGAGCACACATTTCAGTTGTGACTACATTACCGTATGGTATAAATAGTTAATCGGGTTACATATCTGGAGCCGAAAGGCATCAATGAGAGTGTAATGGAGGGTTGTTGTGGAGTGCTTAAATCAAGACCTGAAAAACGATATATAATAAAAATTAGTAATTTTCTAAAACTTTTCAAGCTTCCTGTACTAGACACAAGATTAACTGCGGTCGCACTAGTCTTTGAAGGTAGAGCCATGGTAGCTTATACTGCCACAGTCATAATAAATGTGCGGGTATAGGCCATAATAACATGTGCTGATATGGCCATGACAACATGTACTGTCATAGCTATGATGACATGTACTGCTATAGCCATGATAACTGTGCTGTTAATAGCCATGTTAACATGTACAGGCGCCACGTCCATTCGTAACCAAGACAACACAGTGAATATCTTATCAAATGTACAGAAGTCCCTTGCTGTGTCGTTCAGGTGAAAATAATTCTGTAATAATTAAATTACATACCCATGAGTGAGTGTGTTTACTCAGTGAATCTTCGTGTCAATGGGGTACTCTAAAGGTAAATTGTATAGTAAATAAAGCCGAAGAAGAAAAGAAGAACTAAACTAAACCAAAAACTGTTCAAAATGACGCTCCGAGTATGAACATCTTCAAGAACA